CACAGCTCTCAACAGCAGATGCGCCTCGTCTGGCAGACACCAGCAGAGGAAGCTCAGGATCACAGATCTTACGATATAAAGATCTCAGCATCTCATTGCGAGATAAATGTCCCATACAACAAGGGACTTGTCAACCAAGCCTCGTCTGATTTTCACAGCGAAACAGTTGTGGCTATACAGCACAAACTAATTTTTTGCATGACAATGGATGAATATAACATGGAATAAGATGAGATCCGCTTGAGACTGAATCACTGTCTTGCATAAGCAGCGATCTCCCTCTGGCTCTCTTGGGTATGTGTCATAGCCATACTGAGATAACACATACATAAATCTACTCATCCACCTCTCTCTATTTTTCCCATAAGATTTAGAGTGCTGTGGGCAATAACATCTTTAAGCTAAGCTGAAGAGTTGCTAACTTTTTCATTTTTATTCAGAAACAAGCCTCACTGAGGTTAAGGGACACATATTTAGCCTTACTTTGGATTAAACGCTCTCAAACATCATTCCCAATCATGGAAGACTTTGATAGTGACAGATGGCGTCGCACCCCAGCTGCAGACGCAGCATATAAACAAGAGGAGCTCGTTGGGCCGCAGCAGGTGGAGAGAGAGGTGTGATCCATCATGGCGGCCTGGCAGTACGATGCCCCGCCGAGGTATTCACACGCATCTGTCACAGCGCGGGAACACCGCGGCAGACCCAGAGTGCCAACCAACACTTGTCTGTCTGCTGGAGGAAACTTCTGTCACCTGTCCTCAGACCTGTGAAACTTTGGACTGAGGTGGGAACAGTGGGCAAAATAACCAATAAATTGTCAGGTTTAGCTGGTTTACAACTAGTTTATATTAGATTGAACACAATCCCCGTTGAAAAAACCAGTGTATGCTGGTTAGGTATGTTTTGAAGCAGCATGGCAGCTTGGTTTGAGCTGGTTTGAGCTGGTTATGAGCTGGTCCTGAGCAGGAGCTATCAGCACTTGACCAGCTTAAACCAGCTAATATGCTTCAAAACATACCTAACCAGCATATGCTGTTTTTTTCAACAGGGATGACAAACTTTGGTAGTGCATTAAGAGACATACAGGATTACTTAAGCAAAAAACATCTCTACAGCTTCATGCTCTTTTGCACATCCCATTCACTCACAGCTATGAGATTGAACACAATGACAAACTTTGGTAGTGAATATACAATAACATTTTGTTTCCAGAAAGGATTGTGCACTAAATATTCCAGGTTCAATGACTGAAAATTATTGATTACTGCAGAAATAAGCCATGCAATTTCATTTCATATTTAAATCTAGTTGAAGCCACATTTTTCTCCGTTGCTTTGGATGTTATTTGAGATATTTTGGGGTTTTATGTTTATGTTTATAATGTTTAGTAGTTTGTTATTATTTAACACATTTTTTGTTTGATTTTGTAGATATTCCATTTGTATAGATTGTACAGCACTTTGGTATAACATTTTTTTTTCTTAAATGTGCTTTATAAATAAACTTAAACATGAACTTCCACCAAGCTCAACTTTATATATTCACAATCACCATTTTGACTCATCCTTCCATTTGTAAAAACAAGCAAAAAGCATGAGTACAATGACATATTTACAATTTAAGTCTATGCGGCAAGGCATCCCTGCTTAAACCCCTTTGGTTAAGCTGGTTTGTTGGCTGGTTTTAGGGCCAACCAGCTAACCGTCAGTTTGCTCAGGGCTGGGAGACCAGCTTAAACCAGCTCAGGAAATAACTTTAACTGGTTTAAGCAGGGGGGGTTTTTTCAGTAGGGATTACACCGGAAACAACGTTAAAACCAAGTATCACCAGATATTGTATATGTTAACACTGAACTAGTGTGACAAAATCACTTACTAACATTGTTGTCCAACTACTGACATGATTATCTGGAAAAAAAACAGCAGTTAATCCACCTATAACAATTAGTAGTCTACCGCTAAGACAACTTTACAGTTCATAGCACACAATTTTGTATGGAAGAACTAATATAAGCATTTAAAATAAAATAAAAAAATGTCCTCATTGAATTTATTTTCCTTTAAATCGTGTCGTGATTTGTTGTGATGGTATTGTGTTTTTGTAAAATGCACTGCTTATGCGGTCGTGTATGTGTGTATTTTTGAGTCATGAGGGTGTCTACAATCAAGAGCGATCTGCTTCACTGAAAATGACCAAAAGATCTCAGCTGTGAAAATGTTGAAATTAATTCAGCACTACAAGCATGAAACATTCCCACTCACCACTATTAGCTGATTAAGCCATGGCACTCTGTGTGTGTGTGTGTGTGTGTGTGTGTTCAGGATGTGTATGTCTGATTCACAGCCTGTTCCGTCCATGTCCTCCCTCACATTAGGCAGCATTTCTCTGCAGTCTGTCAAAGTCCATGTGCATGAGAGAATTAAGAGACATACAGAAGTACTCAAGCAAAAATCGTATGAGTGTATCAGGTCAAGCAATCACGGTCAGCTGAGCAGAACAAACTAATGATGAAACCTCGAGGAACTGTCTCAATATGCAACACACACACACACACACACACACACACACAAACATGTCTGATTTACTATCTTTGTGGGGGCTCTCCATAGGTTTAATGGTTTTTATACTGTACAAACTGTATATTCTATCGCCCTACACCAACCGTACACCAAAACCTACCCCTCACAGAAAACTTTCTGAATTTTTACATTCTCCAAAAAAACCAAACAAAACAAAAATGCTGTATGATTTATAAACTTGTTTCCCAATGGGGACCTAAATCAAGTCCCCATGAGTCTGTGTGTGTGTGAATCGGTCCCCACCCACCCACACACACACACACACACACATCTTCTTATAGGGCTAAATTATGTTTTGGTACACCAAAACCTACCCCTCACAGAAAACTTTCTGAATTTTTACATTCTCCAAAAAAACCAAACAAAACAAAAATGCTGTATGATTTATAAACTTGTTTCCCAATGGGGACCTAAATAAAGTCCCCATGAGTCTGTGTGTGTGTGTATCGGTCCCCACCCACCCACACACACACACACACACATCTTCTTATAGGGCTAAATTATGTTTTGCACTAATTCAACACTGTGATAAACACTTTTCATAAACGTAATCTAACTGAAATATATGAACTAGCTCCCTCTAGTGGCCAACACGCTCGTTCAAACAAGCATCACATGTATACTCCCATTCAAATGTTCAAACATTTGTCCGACAATAAACACAAAGATGTGTTTTGCATCGTTTTTGTGTTTATTAAGTGTCAACACATTAACTTGAAACCATCAAAGACCTTATAAAATCAAAATTGGACTCTGTAGCACAAGTACAGGTGCATCTCAATAAATTATAATGTCGTGGAAAAGTTCATTTATTTCAGTAATTCAACTCAAATTGTGAAACTCGTGTATTAAATAAATTAAATGCACACAGACTGAAGTAGTTTAAGTCTTTGGTTCTTTTAATTGTGATGATTTTGGCTCACATCAAGATGTCTGATAAAGATCGTTTCATCATCTGCTGTGTACAAACATCTGATACATTTCAAATGCCTTTTTATGTATTTGCATTATATTGACATATTTAGCAAGTAGTAAATTGTTTTACAACAATTGTTGTTCTTTTTAAGAACTTACTTTTCGAGGGTTTGAAGTAGCCTATAGGCATGCAGATGTGTAGTGGTTGAGTCTAGAAGGGATACCGCTACGGCCACCATGGCTTACTGGGCGTGCGCACATCAATTGCCTCATTTTTGCCACGCTGAACAACAATAATTACTGTATTTGGATTATTGTAAGAGGTAGGTTTAGGGTTGGGGTAGGTGTAGACGATAATAAAACAGAATGTGATAGGTAGCAAATTTACTTTATTGTTATTTTCCGGCCGTAGCTGTATCCCTTCTAGCCACAAACATGTTTAGTAATAGCACGTTACCGGACATCTGTCATGTTGCCACTGTCTAATGTGGCATTTTTGGGTGTCAAACTTTTACTTCACGCCGCAGCAATAAATATGCTGTAACAGAGGGAAAATGGTCTAATGGCGCCCTCTTGTGATCACACTTCACAAGACAGCACAAATCCCAGCTATAAAATTAATTCTGTTGTTGAGATTTTAAAGGCAAGATTTTCACCAAATAGCACATTTCAGTGTGCAGCACATTTCAGATAGCCCAGTTTAACACAGAGAACCATAATGGCTTCAGAGGACTTGGAATATAGTGCATAATTAGGTGCTCCTGACCCACTTTCATTGTATGGAAGAGAGCAGCATGAACATTGCCCAGAAAAAAAGCAAGTCATACAACTTTGGAACAACAAAAGGGTGTTGTTATTTTTTGGTGAACCCAACATTTACAGGTTTTAGTTAATGTATATATTTCTGATCTGTGTTTTTTGTTAAAAATAGTTTTCTGTTGCTTTGTTGCATCACAGTCTCCTTATGACAAGTGACAAGACACATTCAATATATGCTACCATCAAGCACTGTGATATATACGTAGTATTATGATTTATGATATGGCTGGATTTACTATTAGAGGAAAAAAGAACATTAAAAATTACATTTAAGATATTTACAATGTCTGAAAAGATTTCTGAAATCCTAAAAAAGGTCCACAAAAATATTAAGCAACACAACTGTTTTCAAAATTGATAAGATATCCTAAAAAAAATTTCACAAAAACATTAAGCAACACAACTGTTTTCAAAATTGATAATAATAAGAAATGTTTCTTGAGTACCAAATCAACACATTATAATTCTTTTTGAAAGATTATGTGCCACTGGATTAATGGCTGCTGAAAAGTCAGCTTTGCCATCACAGCAATAAATGACATTTTATAATAAAATAGAAATAGAATAAAATAGAAAACAGCAATATAACATCACATTACTGTTTTTACTGTGTTTTGATCAAATAAATGCAGCCTTGTTGAGCATAAGACTTCTTTCAAAAACTTTTTTTTTTTAATCCTACCAACCTCAGTTTTTTTTAACAGTATATGCAGTATAGTGACATTTAAATGAATATGTTTTTTTAACTTAACTAACTGCTTCAGACAAAGTTCCAAAAGTTCATACATATTTCAACATATAAGCTGCCATGACCAGGGCTCATAGGACTGTATTCCCCTGTATCCTTCCACACAAAACCAAAACTATCCAGAATTACACAAAATGCCACAAAAACAGCTGTTTACAAAGATTTGTATGTTCACCTCCATGTGTCTCTCACAATGTTCTTGGTCCTGACACAGATATCTTGACTGCATGTTCCTCTAGAAATAGAGTTTTCTTAAATATGATTGTGATGCTGCTGATTTAGTCCTACAACACATGGCGAGGAGCGATGGGTGATGATGCCTCCTGCAGACAAACAGAGAAATGACACATCAGAGCTTTTACATGCAGCTATTATATGATATTTCAAGTAAAAGATGAACTTTGCACCCTTGTCAAAACAATTTGAGCAGTTTTACCTCAACAAAGACTCTACTGTGTAGAATCCAAGATGTTTTCCAAAAGAAAAATGCTCTGAAATTTTATATTTTAGCTCCAGAATAATGTATAGAGCCATTTCACAGGATCTCCAGAAGTCCTGAAGCACCTGAATATCATCGAATCATCAAATTCAAAACAACAAATGCAATATGTTGCAGCAGACTATTCAACAGCATTTAGCTTTTGTTTAAGTAAAACATGGCAATCCATCAGTTTTGGCACAGAGTATTGTGTTCTCCAACTTGTATTTATTATTTAAATGCTAACTGGAAAATTACAGTTTATTTCAACCTTTTGTGTTTGAGTATTTTTAACTCAACAAGTGACTGCAGACATAAGTAATCAGAACATTAAAGTCTAAAAAAAATCATTTAGTTACAATACATACTTCATTTTCAGGGTTTGACCACAATTTCAGTCAGAATATCTTAAAAATACATTAGAGGTGGATGAAATATTCAAAAACAGACTATAAGATCTTAATTTTTCAAAGACACAGTCATCAAATCTTCATTTAAACTGATTCTTAATTAAGGCTGATCAGGTGCACTGTATTGTCTGTGTATTTCTGTACCAGTTCAACATGAGGAAAACATGGAATATAAAAAAAAAATTTGAAAAGCAGGTGCTCAACCAACTGTAGAGTTTGATAATACATATTTATGTCCTATTTAATGAGCCTGTTTTTTGTTTGTTTGTTGCTATTTTTGCTTTGTTTAAACTTGTAAGGATTTGGCTTTTCATGAAAGCGACTTGTTCAAATGAGCTTGACGAATCAGGCTTGCGATTCATCCGAATCCTCGATTTGTAATCCGATGGCCTTCATGTGGTCAATTGTAAACTGGTTTTGCCCATGTTTGTAATAGTGCCTTAAATCATTTGGCTCATCGTCCCCCGTGTCTTCATCACTGCTGTAAATAACAGAGGCCATGTTCTTGTATGGATCATTGTCATCTTCATCATCCTCATTAGCATGAGCGAAGATACATTCCTCTCTGGGTCTTACAGAAGTATCTGGGCAACAAACGTCAAACTTTTCTGCAGGATTTTCTGCTGTAGCGGTAGCAAAAGTGTCCTGCTGCATGACAGGCATCAAAATATCCGCTCTGGTTTCTATTTGATTACATACAACTACAATGTGTCCTTCATTTTTGGGCAAAGTCTCCTCCACTGCTCCTACGTCGTCTTTAAAAGAGACTGATTTTCCAAATGCTTTCCCATTGGTCAGAGCTGAAGATGAGGTGTTTGCAGGTATTATTTCTGGAAGCACCAGGATGGGCAGCATGTCTTGCAGTGCCGTGGGCCTTTCAGACTCATATGCCCTGATTGATGCAGGAAGCATGTCATCTGTTTTGGTGTACAAATCACTGGGGTATTCATGGTCAATGAATGCCTCGTTGTGGTAGGAGGCATCCTCTATGAGCGATATGGGACGTCCTGAATTGACCTGTTGACAACGGAGAAAGGGCATTTAGGGTTGCCTTGATCAACTGTGACATATTCACTGGTCAAATCCACTGCTGAAGTCCAGCGCTGATTATAGAGTAGTTATGTGTGTCACTAATTCTTGAGACATGGGACAAAACTACAGGGAATTATTTGGGATCAATCTTTTTGGTGCAACGTCCTGCTTATTTTCTCACAAAATTAGTTTTTTTTTTCTAACTGTAATGCACAACATTAGAAAAAATTATGAACTGTTATGTCAAATACAGTAGTCAGCATTTGAAGTGGATCAAAAAAGTTAATCAAAGTTGTCCTAAGACAAGAACGCATTTTGGTTTAAGATTTTGATCCACTTCAAATGTTGACTACTATACTAATAATAGATGTTTGCATTATAAAAATAAAATAAAATAAAATACATTTAGCCTGTATGGCCTTAGAATATGGAAAGAGAAGACCTTAATAATTTTAATATTGACTGATTTTAAAATGTTTTCTTTTTTTTCCTGGCTGTAATGCACAATGTCAGACAGAAAAATACTGTTATGTCAAATATTTATAATAGACGTTTGCAAACATAGCGTTAAACTATTATTAGAAATATAATATACATAGAACAATAACAGATTTTCAGTTCTATCTATAGAACTGTTGCTACCATCATGCTGTATAAAACCATGCATGTGTTCATTTGTTTCTATGGTGTTGCTAGTTAGCAGACCTCCTCAAAATGAATGAAATTATCTAAATCTATCTAACTATCTAACTAAATTATCTAACTATCTTATTGTATATTAGCGATCAAGTAAACAGTAAATGAAATGGTACAGAACATAGTGATTATCTTCACTGTTAACTAATGGTAGGTAAAAGTGTGGCATTTTGTCTCATCTCTCAAGAGTCAATAAACAATCGATAAACACAATTAACAATTGCTACATTTCCAACAGTGTTTATTAAACGTAAATATGTAACACAAAATACACATACATAGATACAAAACGCCTATCTACATGATAGCAGCCACTGACCAATCAAATACACAGTGAAACATACCAAACCATCAAACACAGGGGGATGTGCTTCGTATACTGGCCAGCTTAAATGGTGCACCATGTTTCTGATAAACTGTAACACCGACAATCCCATTTAAACCAGCCTTTCAGTAGTATACGGCTTTCAGATACAAAATACATCTCACCTTCACAAGGGACAGTGACACTGCATAACACGTCTAGCTACTTAATGTCAAGTGCTTACCTGCTGAAACCATCTTAAGCTCTACATAAGAGGAATTAAAAAGGAATGTGAGGGGAAAACGACAAGGGCAGGAAGTGTTTCTTCTAAATTTCTGACTGTAAATGATGCTTAAGTCAGTTTTTTCTTGATGATACAGTAATGTTCCTCCAATCCAAAAGAGTTTAATTATTATGTGGTATTTCCTTGTTTAGTGCAAAAGTCTTGCTTCAACATCTGTAGGTCAGATACTGTCATCATGCACTAAAGCAGTGGGACATTTTATTGCACATATGTATGTGTTCTATATTTCTCCTGCTATTTTTTAAAAAGGCATTGATTAACTTTTTGAGATTGTAGCATATGCTCAGCGAGGATGTGAGCTCAGCTGGTGTTGCTTTTAGTTCCTTTCGTACTATTACTAGTACAGGGAAGACGAGACAAGCCACTTGTAGATTCATAAAAAATGGGAGATTATCATAGTGCCCAGTTCAGTCAAAATAGCCAAATGTCTTATTGGTAAATTTTACATCTCGTCTTAGCAGCTGGGTTTCCATCAGTGTTTATGCACAAAGGGACTAAAGGGTACAACTTGGTATGATTGATAAAATATAGTAGCTCTTACCACATTTGGGTGTTTCCCAAGAGCTACTGCGCCCCTGTCTGCTGGATCCCGTCTCTCTCTCCGTCTCTTGGCCAGCCAGAGGAAGAGAAATAGTACTGTCACAGCCACTAGCAGAACAAGGGCAGCGATGCCGCCGGCCATCCCTGCGTTCATATCTCCAAACAGACGTTCCTCACCGAATGGACTTCTGGGAACTGTCCGAGAGTTTAGAGGTGGAAAAAAAATTACAAACCGCTCACAAAGACTTTTTAGTGGTCAGTTCTATGTCTTACACCTCCAAGAGATTTATTATTTATTTTGGCTTTGAACGACTGCCAAAAGTAGGGCAGTGAGGAGCTGGAGGAGCACAGAGGTTAATGGGAATACAATAAGGCTAAATCTAATTTAACACCTTATTCGTGCCTCTTAAATCAACCATGAATAATCAAATTTACCAGACGAATGATCTGTGTAAACTATTATCCATATTTGGTTTGACCCTCTATAGTACAGTGTTGCCATACATGGCAAAATGTTATTTTATTTCTCACCTGAATGACACATACTGAAGAATTGCACCTCATTAAAAACATTTCTTCTACATTTGGATTTTTCTTTCCATCTTTGATAACTTAAATAAATTTTAATGTTTTTGTTTTTATGTTTTCTAAAAAAAAAAATGGACAGAATTGGCATAGATGCATGATTGATTATAACAATGAGGATAAACATAATTTTTAGAAGCAATAAGGATAAATGATAACGATTCATGCAATTGCAGGTTATAGGAGTTTTATCAATATTGTATCAATATTCAAGAAATATGAACTGAATTAAATGATCTGTGTAAACTATTATCCATATTTGGTTTGACCCTCTATAGTACAGTGTTGCCATACATGGCAAAATGTTATTTTATTTCTCACCTGAATGACACATACTGAAGAATTGCACCTCATTAAAAACATTTCTTCTACATTTGGATTTTTTCTTTCCATCTTTGATAACTTAAATAAATTTTAATGTTTTTGTTTTTATGTTTTCTAAAAAAAAAAACGGACAGAATTGTCATAGATGCATGATTGATTATAACAATGAGGATAAACATAATTTTTAGAAGCAATAAGGATAAATGATAACGATTCATGCAATTGCAGGTTATAGGAGTTTTATCAATAATGTATCAATATTCAAGAAATATGAACTGAATTAAAGACGACATTTATTGTAGTACAGTTTCCATATTGCAATATTTTATTTTATTTTATTTTCAAAAGATAACTTTTTCAAGTTGGTTGTCATTTTAATGTATAGGTGTTGTGCCAATAATATATCAATATTCATATAAGAAACATGAGTTGTTCAGGTGAATCAGGTGAAGATCAGATTCCAAATTCCAACATTTTATTGAACTTTATTTTATTTTATTTTCCAAAGGTAACTCTTTACTTTTGTTTTATCACTTTAATGTAAGAAAAAATATATATAGAAAAAAATATATATTCACTGTTAAAACATAATTCATACAATGGAGAGTTAACTGTAGTTACATAATCTTAATATTAAAGAAACCTCAAGATTAACACAATTAATGCCCTTAAGTGCATTTACCTGGTTGTCCCCTCTGCAGCACTTCAATATCCACTGAAGCATGGGCTGTTTCACCTGACTCTTCATCTGTTGCAATCACCTTTGATTAAAAAAAAAGCATCACATCATCAGCGATGTTATGACAAATATGTATTGCTATAAGGCATATCATGTAGATCAGTGGTTGGGAACCAATGGCTCGTGAGCCACACTAGCCCTCTCACCCTTTACCAATAAATAATCCATTAAAAAATTAGACAATAGATTTCATGAAAAGTTTAGAAGAATAATATATTTACAGTTGCACTGGCCAAGTCCGTGTTCAGTGCTGTTAGTGACAGCAATCAACTGCAAACCACTTGTATGGTAACCTCAAGTTCCTGTAGCTTGTTTGTGGTATTGACAAAACGCAAGACTTTTAGAACAGAGGCTAAAATTAAAAATTATATGAAAAGTGACTGGACTAAAACATATCCTTTTATTGAAATTGGTGCTCTGTTGTGCCATGAGATATTTCGAAACATTTCACCACGTACTTTCGCTTTTGCAGCACAGATCTTTTATGTCCTATAAACGTGTCTTATTTATGTATGATAATCCAAGCAGCTTTCAGTGGATGGACAGTTTTAATTTATTAATGAAGAAACATGGATGAATGAGAAAGCAAAGAGTGGGATGTGCTTGATATTAAAAAGGAAATATTAAAAGCGCAATAAGCCGCAAAAGAGAACTGAATCAGCTACTGACAGGATGCTTTCTGTGTGGAACACGGACAAGAATAGTGGTCTTCTGCGTGCCTACACACACAGCCAGTCTCAGTGACGTCTCAATGATACACGTTCTAAAGATTCGTGCCTTCAGTCTCATATATCAGTTGAATTCTTTCTCGAGCTCAGTGTGTTTGTAACTACAGGTAAGTTCTGTACCGACGGTCGAGTGAAGATTCCTCATGAAGCTTCATTCGGCGAGTCTGTGCTTAGGACTTCGCAGTCTGCGTACCCTAAATGCAATTCCCGTGAAGAACTTGACATGTCTGCTGCTTCAGTTGTGAAGCAGTGTGACAAACAGACATTCACCTAAACGATAACAACCCGTATTATAACTGAAATAGACTAGATCACCAATACAAGATAGTTCAACCTAGAACAATTTAGATGAATTACCTACACAAAAATCCATTTGCTTTGTGCCTACACACTTTGTAAACCAGGCCTGGTTTTACAGAGGTACTAACACCCTCAGTTGAAGCTGTAATAATAGCATAGCACTCTAGTGAGTAGTTGTGTCCGCGCCCTGAAAGTGCATCAAAGGTTTCTATTTAATAACGTGTTTTTGCAGCGTTGAGCAGCGTAGACAATCACAGACATATCTGTTCATTTCTTGAAGGCAATGGCCAATCAGAGGCATTTAAGATGGCTCTTTGGTCAAAAAAAGGTTCCCGAACCCTAATATAGATCCTATCATAATTGTCACCTCCAGGATGTGTCGGTCGAATGCTCTGAGTCGGTCCGTCTTTGCAATCACAATGCCATCCTGGGTAATGTGGTACAGTTTATTGCTACCCATCAAGGGCTGCATTGTGTAATGGATTTTTGGATTTATTCCCTGCAAAAGAGCAAAAAAAGAGAAAATGCTATAAATGAAGATTTGCAGGCATTTTTAAAGTGTTTCCTATAAAGGAAATGTTTTCGCTCTACATCTCTGAAGTCCCTGTCGATGGCCTGGACTACCAGGACTTGGTTCCCGTAGGTAGTGACCAGTGTGGCAGGGCTGGAGCTCTCAATGAGGAACCCTTTGTAGACGGTCTTGTTGAAGAATGGAGGAAATCGGTTCTCTGACACCACATGCACCAGTGCCGTCGCCACCGAATATTTCTTTGGGTCGTTCACCTGCGCAGCCTGTCAGAGTTTGCAAAGGGCAATTATGATGAGAACTTTGATGTCCTTGTTGTGTCACACAACCCACACATTTTTTGTTCAATGCAATTTCTTTTTATTGTCTTTTTATTGCCTAGCATTATGGTCTGCAATATGGCAGTTGAAGTACTTCCATACTGTGTCCTTGTTAACGCTATACAGCAGATCAGCGTGGTAAATCAGCCATCACTTTGTTGTTCATAAACATAGACATTATCTCGTCATACCATTATGCGGAGCCTGAATGAAGGTGTGAGGAGTCTGTTTTCCACACGTTGCCTGAGAGAGATCTCTCCTGTTTTAGAGTCGATTGTAAATCTGCCATTGCCATCACCTAGAAAGCCATTTTGAGTATTATTTAAAAAACTATAATGGAGATTTAAAGGATTAAATAGTCTATAAATCAATGCAACATACAGTAAACTCACCTGACAGAATACTGTAGACTAGAGGAGTCAGTATGTCTTTGTCTCCATCTTCAGCATGAATGGGCCCCGGAGAAAAATAGAGCACAGCATCCTAGATCATAAAGAGCATTTTATTTTTAACCATACAGGTGAAGACCCAAGCTTCACAGCTCCACTTTTTTTTTAATGAAACATTAAAAAAAATTGTATTACACTCATTGTATAACATTATTAAACAATGCTGTGAAATAAAAATCTAATTTAATTATTTAATTTTGGCAGATACTTTGCAGACAGCTAATGTGGCTACTCTAGTTTTCATATTTATAATTTATCTGCCTTCCGTATACACAAATGTTCAAAATTTTGAGGTTGGTAAGATTTTTTTATGTTTTTGAAAGAAGTCTCTTTTGCTCATCAGGGCTGCATTTATAATCATTTTTTTATTATATTTTATTATTTATTATACAGTACAGACAGTAACACTATTACGATTTAAAATAATTGTTTTGTATTTAATATACTTTACAATGTAATTTATTCCTGTGATGGCAACACTGAATTTTTAGCAGACATTACTCTGGTGTTCAGTGTCACATGATCCTTTAGAAATCATTCTAATATTCTGATTGCTATTTAGGAAACATTTGTTATTGTTATCAATGTTGAAAACAGTTGTGCTTAATATTTTTGTGGAAATGGTGATAGATTTTTTTTTTTTCTTCAGGAATATTTGATGAATACAAAGTTCAAAAGAACAGCATTTGTTAGAAATGTATTTGAAATATTTTATTTCTTTATTTATTTTTGTAAGATAATAAGTGTCTTTACTGTCACTTTTGATCAGTTAATCCCTCCTTGCAGAATAAAAAATATTACTTTTTTTTTTTTAAATGTACTGACTTCAAACTTTTGAACAGTAATCTACAGTATATGAATTCATTTCAGCTAAATCAATCACCTGTACACAAAAATGTTACCACATACCTCATCTGTCTCTCTGATGTTAACACTGTACACAGGGTTGGTGCAGATATTGTGATCTCCATCTTCATAAACAGGTGCACATGGCTGAAACTGAGGATACTGGTCATCACCGTCTAGAACGTTCACAGTGACTGTAGCTGTTGTGCTGTACTTTTCTTTTGTGGTCGTTTCCTGGTGATTTAAATAGCAGTTCAAACTGTTTTCTCTTAATTAGGATTCCTTTCCAGCACATAAATGTCTTGTGATTGCCAGTCAGCACATATGTGAATAACATGTACTACATACCACAGCAAATATGACCACCTGCAGCTGGGTTTTAGTCTCATAGTCCAACGGTTTATCCAGGATCACCATCCCGCTGTTGGGCAGATCAATCCTAAAATAGCTGGCATCAGCCTGAATGAGAGAAACACACATTGCTGGTAATGTTCTCTTGGATTGTGGAAAGGAAAAGGGGTTCTCTAATAACATTCATGTATTTTTATGTGTCCAAATACATTGGGGCCCCCGGTAAGTGCTGGTTTGAGTAGTAGTCAGTCAGCTGCAGACAGACCGATTGAGGCTACTGCAAAACCTTTTATTCAGCCTTTCATCTGTAATTTTGTCTTTTATCGAAGGCATGACTCACTGTAGATTTGTCGGTCATATAAGTGATTGTGTCTCCATCGCCGTCTCTAGCTTTTACTGTGAACACCATCGAGTTTACAGTAAGCAACTGTCGGAAGAGAGTCAGCAGATGTAAGGACTCTAGGTTATAATGTTTCATTAAAATAATCACACATGTAAAATGATCAGTAAAAGGTTCATTTTAGACAGGAGTTGAATTCCGAAATAATTCAGTATACAGAGTAAAATCTGGAGTAAAAATGGACCAAAGTGAGTTTACCTCACTTATATATCGTGGTTGAATGGTGTCTTCAAGGAAATATGGCATGTTGTCATTTTCATTCAATATTTCCACCATAATTCGATACCGACTCTGAAATAAGAAACTGTGGGTTAAATGCACTCCAGTATGAAATATCATTATTTTTGAAATGCGTTTTTATACCATACCCTAATTATATCATCTTCATAACATGTCAAAGCAGCTATCAGAACTGATCCCAGCACCTGTAAATTACCACCAAAAAATAGGTTGCATAGAGAGGTTAATATTTATATAGTTATTTTTTTTATCACAATTATCACTCAAAACAAAAAATGGTCACACTTTATTTTAAGGTCCAATTCTCACTATTAACAAACCATTAACTATGACTTTTCCCTCAATAAACTCCTAATTTGTTGCTTCTTAATAGTTAGGAAGGTAGTTGTTAAGTTTAGGTATTAGGGATGTAGAATATGGTCATGCACAATATGTGCTTTATAAGTACTAATAAACGACCAATATGTTAATAATAGGCATGTTAATAAGCAACTAGTTAATAGTGAGAATTGTCCCTATACTAAAGTGTTACCCAAAAAACTATACTATTTTTGGACTAAACTATTTTTATACAAAAACAAAAGAAAGAAATGTATGTATTTTGATTGTATTTTAATGTCTTCTCTTGTTTTATGCTCATTTTGCTTATCGTTGTAAAGTTTTGTGTTATTTTGCCCTAGTCTCAACAAATGAATCTGGTAAAATAGAGTTTATATAACTTATAACATTTGTAATTTATAGACATTCTATTTTAAAACCCCAAACTATGGCTTAAAACTCCTCCACTGTGTTGGCTGGCAGTCCTAATGCTTCAGTGTTATTCTGGCTTCCCTCCACATGCTGTTAATCACCTCTCGATCTAAGGTCCTTGAAAACGACGAGTTGAGTCGGATTGTTCGGCCTTCAAGGTAAAACCAGTCAGCGTTTTCTCCTGTGAGACACAGGCGGATGCTACTGGCTCCAGGGTCTCCATTGATACTGAGGTGGGCTATGATCTCTCCAGTGGGACTGTTCTCTCGGACCATGGCAAATATGTCTTGACCACCAAGGCATAAACTGGCTGCCGTTCAGATGAGAGACTGATTAGATTATGAGGACAACACAAATCATCCATAAAATCACAGACTGCAAAGCTAATTTATAAAACAACACCTTTGTAATAGCAGGGGAGAGCAGGGATAATTGTAACATGTATTGGATTTTGCCCAACTATTCCTGCATCAGGGTTGTTCTCACAATTCTGACTTTATTCTGAGTTTATATCTATTATATGCAGTTGTGAGTTAACATCTTGGAATTGAGACTTTGTGAGTTTATAACACACAGTACTTTGTCGGACTTAACACCTCGCAATTCTGACTCGTTTTCTCAGAATTCGGAATTAACAGCTTGCAAATCTGATTCTTTTTTTAAAATTCTGAGTTAAAACCTTACAATTCTGACTTGACGCCTTGCAATTCTGACTTGTTTTCTCAGAATTTGAAATGAACACCTTTCAAATCTTACTCTTTTTTTTTTTATTCTGAAGTAATACTCCCAATTCTGACTTTTTGTTAGAAGAGTTAATAGAGTTAATATAGAGTTAACACCTTGCAATTATGCCTTGTTTTCTCAGAATTCAGAATTAACACTTTTATTAACTATTCCATTTAATATTCATATTAATGTACAAAATTAAATTACTAAATTAATATTATATTCAAACAATTGTTGATATAACAGAACAAAATTATAAAATTAATGCAGACGGTCCATATAAGTTGGTCTGAGATATTTGATGAGAAATGTAGCTCATATTGAAATCTCTTAATTTTGGTTGCAGACTTTGGTATCTAGGCAAATCTGTGCACATTTTGTGACAAGAAAATATGGTTTCTGTATGCTCTACGATCTAGGGATGCACGATATTGGATTTTTGCCGATATCCGATATGCCGATCATTTTCAACTCATTTTGGCCGATAGCCGATGTTGATACCGATATATAATTATTTTTAATTTTGGTTAGTTTTTAACAAGAACTTATTTGTTAGAATGAAATAAACAATATTAAGTTCTTTTGTAATGACAGTACATTGAAGATTTGAAAATAACTATAAATAAACTATATATTAATCACTGCATTGTTTTGTTTTGTTTTTCAGAAAGATGCAGTGGTAACCTTAACATTTTATTTTATGATTTAACATTTGTGTCACAAGTGTCATGTTTGTGATTTTTTTGTTTTCATGTAAGCTATAGCTTCTGACCTTTAAATCAAAATATACCCATGATTTCATGGCATCTATTACTGCTTTATTTAATCAGAAACACAGTCTAAATATTATTTGTGTATTTTGCTTTCATTTTATTAGAAGTAGGCCAACAGCGCCCCCTACGGAATTAATACTCCTTACTGAGCGGGCATTAGGACCCGAGGGAGGCTGCCGCTGCACGTGCTATTACTGTTTACACTATCACACACGGAACACGTCATTCTGTAGGTGCATTCTCAGTTTAAATGCAGCCATCCAAAACGTGAATCTAAACACTATACAGGCAAAACTTTGCTTCAAGAATGAGCCACAATGCTGACGTGATCTAATCGCACTGTTGACTTGATCTAATGGCTAGCACACCCTGAGCACATGTGAGTTAATGTATTCGTCTTATCGGCAAGACATATCGGCAGAATTTTTGACGATTCCGATATTGGTCCGATAATATCGTGCATCCCTACTACGATCTTATCCCTACTACGATCTTATAAAGATGGCAAGTGGAAGCCACAAGGCCACAAACACACATCATGAGGCCCTTGACTTGGGCCTTTGCATAATAACACTTGGGGCACAATCAATTCTGATGTATAAAATCAAGTCCCTACAATTTTTTGTTGTCGAATATCCTTACATTTGCCATGTAATGAAAGTAAAAATCAGTTGTGAACACAGTTTAATGTTTGCTTTATGTAAGAGTCTCCCATTTGCTCTCCATTTCTCTAATTTCTGTCAAGAAAAAAAAAATGGAATCTCACTTGTGACTTTTCATTCTGATAGGCGAATCAGAGCTGAATCAGAGCTCTCATGACTAGAAGAGATCATTCAAAGACTCATTATCATTTCCACAACCTCATAACCATGTCTGGCACATATATTACCACAGAGCAGTGATTCATGAAAATTAGCCTTTGCGGATCCTGATTTTAGAGAGGTGTTTACCTTTTGCGATGTGATGGAATATGTTCAGTGCCATCTGGCAGAGGAACAATCTCCATGGTGTCAACATGGTTGATATTCCCCTGGGCTCATGTCTCCTTGTCCCCGCTGTAAAAGAAATGCCAAACCCTGACAGTCAATCGCTCTGAAGGATTTAAAGTGCTCATATTACCTGTCACAAAGAGCAGACTTTCCTATTCACACCAAAGGTCAATTAAATCAGAAGATTAACAAAGCATATTTATACTGTCGCGCCACCATCTGAAATTCATCAGCCAAGTTACTCAAGTGAGTCGAATCAAACCGCTAAATGAATTACTAGAACGTCACACAGTCTCACCTCTCAGTGTTTGTTTACTTCGGCTTGGACTTTAGTCATGTTAAGTCTTCACCCCAAGGTCTTTCCTAGTACTTAAAACCTATTATGATGTCTTTAGCCAGTGTCAAGCCAACAGCCTGGCAGTGATGTCGGTTACGTGACCTCCAGGCCACACTTTTGATCCTCCACCTTCCACTTCCACGCACCCCTCCACATAAGAGCTTTTTCAAATCCTCACATAATACCTGCAAAGCTGCCTAAGAACTGTTGTTTCCCCTCTTAAGTTTTGCTGTCTGCCCAGGCGAGAATAAACCAAATTTTTGTCGTTTCATTCCGCCTCGCCGCATTTTGTATGCTACTACACATAATTACACATTTACTGTTTAATTATAGATAATTTTGTTGGGATATTTCATGCAAAAATATTTTTCATTATTTAATTCCCTTATTTCAAACCGGCATGCTCTAAAAGGACATATTTTATGTAGCTGTTTTCTATACAAGAAAAGAAATATCAGCATGAGGATTAGTAAATAATCACAGGATTGCCATTTTTGGTTGAATTATACCTTTACAGCGGATTCATCACATGACCACTAGGGGACACCATCACTCTTGTCCTCCCTGAGTAAGGTTATAAGGACAGTCCTTCAGACCTGGTAATGTCAAAAACACACCTCACGGCCCCATGACATGCAGGATAATCTTATTCTGATCTTTCCGAAGTTGAAGTTCACAGTTGAGGAGGCTTATTGTGGTTGAACTTGCTGTGGCTGTGGATAATAGGCTAACACACTTTATTAAGAGCGGGGGGTTAGTGTAAACTTTTAAACAGGATGTTGATGTGTACATTTTTCTTATTTTATTTGTCTGTCCTTTAGAAGCTACATAAGGTATTTACATGTTTCCTAGAAAACAAATGAGATTTTTTAGAATTTTTAGAATTTTAAACAAAGCAGAACTGTAATTATTTCCTATTGTAATATATTTTAAAATATAATTTATTCCTGTGATAGCAAAGAGCCTTCGGAAATATTCTAATATGCTGATTTAAAAACTGTTAAAAACAGTTGCTTGTGCTGCTTAATATTTTTGTGGAACAGTTTTTGGAATTCTTTGTTGAATAGAACGTTAAAAAAAAAACTGCATTTATTTGAAACTAAAATCTTTTATAATGTCTTTACTGTCACTTCTGATGTAATGAATGCAGATTTGCTACATAAAACTACACATTAATTAAAAATAAATAAATATATAAATCTTACTGACCCCAAATTTTTGGAGTACAGTATGTTATAACCATTAGAGGCTTTTTTAGGCCCAGGATCCCTTGGGCAATAAAGAAGAAACAGTCCAGGGACTCACTGTTACAGTATGTGCTGTGTTAAAGTGAGTGTTGAAATATAGCCTATAATAACATACATACATAATGTATTTACTGTACATTACGTTATGATGCTTATATTGCAAAGCCATTACAATTATTATTGATGTATAGAGTTTAATTTACAGTTTACAGTTTAATTTTAATACATTTTAATGTGTAAGTTCAGCAGCTTGATTTTGGCATTAGTTGTATTCATGTTTTCTTATTAGGGCTGTCAAAATGGCTGGAAAACTAAATTCGAATTTTGTACTTAAATATTATCAATATTCGAATTATATTTGAATTTAAAAGGCATAAATGGCTTTCTAAACATGCGGCTGGCTCTGGCGGCTCTCTTGTGCAAGATGCGAGTGCAACGGTGATAGACGTCCCTCTAGAAAATGTGATAAATATGCGTTTTGTGTGAACGGTTTGGTTTCGGTTTTGACGTAAACAACATCATCGCTGCATTGATGTTCTTTTTGCCTGCAATATTTTAATGAACAACGTAGCAGCGCCACATCTAGTGGGTTCAACTGGATAGGCTAACAAAAACATTAAAATGCAATGACACTTACAACGTCATCGCATCTCGTGCACCACTGATAAAGCTGCCTGATGCACACCTAAAACTCGAATGCAACGTTTTTGCATTCGAATGTGGATTTTTATTTTAAATTCGACGTATGCGTTTTGTTTGGTTTCGGTTTTGACGTAAACAACATCATCGCTGCATTGATGTTCTTTTTGCCTGCTTTGCCTGCAA